GACGAATTCTACCGCCAGTGCGAGATATGTGGTGATAGTCACTAGCTGAGCACTCTAGAGGCTGTCCTTGATAGTTCTCCAGCTGCTCATCACGAAATCTTGCCAAAGCATTGTAGAACATTCGCTCATGCGTTGGTCTGTGGGGATTTATTAGCGTCACGCAAGTTATTTCTCATATCTACCAGATATTACTTACTCGATGCAAAGAAGTCTTTGAATTAGCTCGTCTGCCTTGACATCATGCCACAAAGTCTGCAAATTGCGAAGGATATCGAGATCGATGTCCTGCTGACAGGACAGGGTTTGACCGCAGTCCTTCACCGACAGGGCAGGAGGAGGACCGACGTAGTGATCAATCATCGCATTGTGAAGCTTTTCATATTTAGTTAGTAACGGATGCAACCAAATGTTTTGCATGGATATCCGATCTTCTGGGCGCTTTTGAAGAATACGCTGGATGAGATCGGCTGCTTCATCACTCAACTCGGAAGGGATCTCGTAGTCTCCTTTCTTCACAAGCCGCAGGGTGCTTCCCAGATCCCCTCCATCGAAAGGCAAGTAACCAGTCAGAAGAGCATACAAGATGATACCGCAGCTCCACATGTCAGCTCTGTCGCCACGGTATTTGCGGCCATAAATGATTTCTGGTGCTGCATAATGAGGGCTACCACATGAAGTATTCAGCCAGTGGCCAGCAGGTTGCAGTGCCGCCATGCCAAAATCAGCGAGCTTGACATTATGGTTTGCATCGAGTAAAATGTTTTCGGGTTTCAAATCCCGGTGGCAGATATTGAAACGATGACAATACCCAAGGGCCGCAATTATCTGTCGGAATAGTCGTACGGCCTCTTCTTCCGGCAATGGTCCATTGTTGGATACATAATCGAACAACTCTCCACCCTCGACGTGTTCAAGGACAAGGTACCTATCTATTGCGTTAGTGTATTCTCAATTTCAAAGGTTGGGTGCACAAACAATTCTCCTCGATTTTCCCAAACATCATAGAGGCTGATCACATTCGGATGTTCAATCAACTTCATGATGACCACTTCGCGTTCAATTCCACAGGGCATTTGTCGGGTGGCCGCATTGGTAGGGAAGTTCCCCATATTACGGTCCATTGCCGCGATACTCTCACTCTGAACCATAGCAGCTGACTTCTTCGAAACGATTTTGATAGCGGCTGTGTGTCCAGTAACAGCATGCTTTGCCAGTCTAACCCGCCCAGTGGCTCCCTTCCCCAGTGTTCGTCCCAGCTGCCATGGTCCCACATGTGTTTTCCTCTTACCTTTGGTCGACAAAATGGATGCTGCAGACATGATGGAGTTCCGGGCTGAGTCAGGCTGCGAGTCGATGGCCACGGAGAGCCGTTCATTTTCCTTGTTTCTTTGCGGGGTCGGGGTCATAAGGAAGGACACCCGGTCTGGACTCTTTAGCTGCTCGGATTCCTCGATCCTCAGGCGCGGTGTCTCGACGACATTTGGCGACTTGGAATGGTTTATCCGACTCGACGCGTCTCTCAAGGGCTGACGCCTCCGCTGAGAGTCATTAACGTCTGACATTATCTGATCCATCGTAGAGGCTCTGCAAGTCGTGCATGTGTTTTCCACGTCTTCTTGAAGTTTAGAGATTAGTCGTGATTCTAGACGCCTATTAGCAGACCGTTCAACGTCAACAATCATCTGTGGAGACCAATACCCAACGCACAACAAAAATAGATCAAATGCAAAAATACAGCTCTTTCTGGGAGTCAACAAAAAGACGTTATGTGTAAAGATCGGCTCCAGACTATTCTGGGAAAGAAGGAAGAGAAGAAAACTAAAGAGTGACAAGGGCTGGTCAACACCACATCATCGACGGAGATGCAGCGGGAAAAAAGAAGAGAAAGGATATTAAGCGACAGAGATAAAAACACAAGACGGAGGGTAAAAAGTTTGGAACTGTCAATATTCATGAAGGGCAAGAGGTTGGCTTGCATGCTTGGGCTGGACTGGAATGAGAGATTCCTTCCTTCCCATCGGAATGTCATTAGCACCCTCTATTGTTGTTTACTGGGTACGATGTATTCGCTTGACTCCATGTAGGCATATTTGCCTGTTATCATGAGATTTGATCGATCAGCGTCGTGGCGAGGCAGAACCATTAAAAATTCCTGTCACTATTCACACTTCACACTGCTCCGCTCTCGGGACTAGCGCCTTGATCAATGGATTCGTTGCTCTTTTTTTCAAAGGAAATATCTCAGGTCCTGACTCAAATAATTTTGTATCTCACAATTCAAACTCATATCGTGCTCTCATTGTCAACATCAATTGCGATCGTCCGGGCGATATGGCATTCCCGCAAGGAAGGGGGATAATAACAAATCAAATTTCAACCCCCAGGGCTATTAACCATCTTATCTGTACAGGGGTCTATCTGTGTTGAGCATGCCATATCCCTAAGCTTTGCACGTTCTAGTATCCGGTTCTTAGGGCCAAATTAAGAGTCCAAATAAAGTTGCACATATATATCCTCCTTCTTAGTTATATAGATTTTATAGAGCTCCGCAGTAATAGTAGAACAATCACATCCTCGGGTCTATTCAGATCTGCATCGTGATATCACCAATGCTGCTCACTAATATGTACATCGTTCACGTCAAGCTCGTCTGCAAACCACCGCCCCTCGCCATTACCTTCCGGTCCGATGAGAACATCATTTCCACTCATCATACGTTTGCGCATCTTCCCTGTCTCATCAAAAGTCCAATCCTCCAATCCATAGCACCGTTTCCAGCGCATCTCATCTTCCACATCCTGAAACTCATACCAGAACTGCACGGCGATGCGATCATCCCGGAAAGCGAAGAGTTCCTTTCGAAGTCTGTAACTACGCTCGCGTTTCCATTTCGCTTGCAAGAACGCCACAATAGATTCTGTCCCGGTAAAGAATGAGTCTCGAACACGCCATATGCACGTTGGGGTGTATCCCTGAGCGACTCGGGCAGGGTCCCTAATCGCATATAGTCAGAACGGGAGATGACATCACTAACGTCATCTATTTTGGCACAATCAAATAATAATAGTCCATCATCTCAACAGCACAAGAGAAATCCTCCCCGTCGGAGGCATGTTGCATGTGTCCAGGGCGATCTGCACGGACAAACAATACAAGTCGGCAAGAATGCAAGGGATGAAGCCTTCACCCTTCTTTCGAACATGGCCATAGAGATGAAAAATTCCGAGACTTACTTCGTATTCCACATATCCTGTGCTGCTTTGACTTTTTTCTGCGCTGTCTCCTCGGTGAATGGAGGTCTGAGATTTGCCATGGTGGGTATTTCAGGGGATATGAAATCAAATTTGTCTTCAGGTCAGATTGCGAAGTTGAGAAGCTTAACCGCTTCCAAGCCAGGTTGGGACCCGTAGACGGCTTTAGTCATGTCCACGTAAGGCTGTACAACGTCTAACGATCGACCGGCCAATGAAGGATCTTTCTACTGTGCCAATAGTGATTACCTAATTCATACAACAGATTCGGTTTCAAGCGGAGGTTCTACAGTGATTTGACCAACAAATTCCTAGCCATATGACCGGCAGTAGATATCGTACTCGACGGACCTGGTAACTGAAATATGTATACTTGTGACTTGTGGTATCTTATATAGGTCTGTTCGATAGAAATCAATATCAATATTAATGATCAAGAAGCAAGCTATCATGTTAGATTAATTGTTGTTGTATATATGAGGAATATATATCTGTTTCTGGCCACAACCCAACACCACTATGTACGAGAATTATTATAATTTCAAGCGATGATTCATTTGAGGTGAAATAACAGTAGATATTAAATTACAAAGACAGTATTTAGACAACTACATTTTGATATCTAGTGACCTTATGATTCTTCTAGCAGCGCCAAGCCATAGCGTCAAATGAACTGTCGGAGTGGCAGTCAGATCGGACCAATACATCTCCACTGTTGTGTCACCGATAAAATCTGACATCAGGATGAGTCGCTATATTCTACAAAGATGACTAGTGGCATACGGCTTCTGCGGTCAACAAAAAGTCAACATGCAACTTGCGGATAACCGACTCGATCGGAAATCGACTTGGCCCTGCGAGATCAGGATGAAGATGGTGGAAATATTGGTGTTCTGCAACGATATTGGAACATGAGTAGGGTGAATAGTCAATAACATGAGATTTTAGCTCAGAATGGAGTGAAAATCAAGTGGAAACTAGGGTATGGTTCATATTTGGAACAAAGATATCAACCAATGCAATGCATTGTTCAATCATCATAGCACCTTATTAGCTTTGTCTTAGACAAGGAAAAGCAAGATAAAAGAAATTTTAATGCGATGTTATTCATTTCATTGGGCCCAGGGCTTTTTGGAGATTCTACAAATATGTATATTTTCTTCCAAGCCTCCCATATTCTATCAACTCTCTCCACCCAAGGCTAGTATCGCGAGTACTTACCCCAGAGCTCTACTTTTTGAAGAATTCATCACCCCCCATGTGCAAAGTACGATATAAATGGTATCGTGGCCACTGCGGTATCAGTGGCTGTGGGCACACAGAAGCAGTGTGGATCGAGCGCTGTAGAGAAGCGAATGCCCGTGAGAGACGAGTACCTTGCCCTAACCCACGTCCAGTTCTCCGTATCACGGAGGCTTTTGCGATGGGTCTTTGTCGTCCCTGTCTTGGTTGGGCTGTGTTGATTCCAGGAGCTCCTGAATTGGTTGACCCCGAGCGGGTTGATAGACCTCGTCGACGACCTACAATATTGACTCGTTGACTTCATAGTTTGACATCTAGTGTTTCAACCGATTCATAAATAAATTGCAGCTGCCTTACTCTTGAAGAACAGAGTAGTTGTAAATAAGATAATGAAGGTTTGTATGTTTAGACATAGGTCGTTCGTACATCGCAGTCGGTCTCGAGAACCGGGAATTATTGGGCGATGTGAATATATCGATTTGTATTTCCATCCTTGATGAGTCTCTCTCACAGCCTAGATAAGGGTTGAAGTGAAGTCCCCGATTCTTTCTGAACCTGCACTGCAGTTTGTTGACCACCCGTTGTCTCTAAGAGATCTACGACCAGTGGTCCCACCAAAGACATCTTAGAGGTTTGTACCAAATTTTTGGACAACAGGATAACCGAAGAAGATACTTCTGGCACGTATTCGACGACGAAATTTGGGTCGGTGTTGGTATAGCAAGAAAGGGGTATGGCCAAGGGATCAGGATGCAACTGGCCAATTTCGGACGAATCGCCATCCCTAGCCCCCGTTTCGACAATGATGAGCGACGAGGGATGAAATCCGGCATTCCTCATGCGAATACCAGCGCTCTTTTTCCCGGTCAACGTGCTCACGTAGACTATTTGGTCAATTTGTTGTCCCAGGAAAAATCGCACGCCTGCAATTTGTGCTGCACGATAGACCTATATTTCAATCGAGCCATCAGTAATTATTCTATTTTTTTTTCTTTCTCTCTTTGTGTTATGGAAAATAAACAGCTTTTAGGGGCACGCTACATTTGTCAAGTCTCCGAAAGGGATATAATCATCTTCTGCGAATACCGAGACATTTGTGTAGCCTCGTAGGGAGAGATGCAGTGCTACCGAGAGGCCGCAAGCACCAGCGCCGACAACAATAATAGAATCTGTCGAAACCATGATGAAGTAAATAACTGCATCTCCCGTGGGCTATTGTTCGGCTGATATAGTATTCTCCCCGCATTTCCCCCAAAAGAGTTATATTATGCGGAGTTGGAGAAAAGTGCCCCGATAAGAGCTGAGGGGAAACTTGGAATCGGGGAGACTCCCGATGTTTCTCCAATTATGCCTTTCTATAACTTGTATGATTCCTATGAGTCCTATAACCTATGGACTGAATGCTTGTTTTGAGTTCTCGAAGTTTTCAACCGCAGAATTCATAGAAGGATGGTACTAACAACACTTGTAGTCACTTCCAAGGCTAACTAATGTATTCAGCTACCGCGTCAAGGTCAGTGTAGGAGAAACAAATGCAAATAAGCATAGCTTTCCAAGAACAAGCACTAAATATCTTAAAAACCCGAACCTCATGAAGCTCATCGGATTCGATTGGGGCGGGGTACGGATTTCTCCACACTCGGAAGCGTCCCCGATCTTCAAAATTCCAAGTTCGCGTTTGCTTTTGTTCCCTTCTAATATTTTCTTCGGTTGATTCAAACAATGGACATTCAACAAGGAACCCTTTGCATTCTAGGCTGTGGTGAGTGTGCAACCATAGGGTAAAGTACGTCGACTAATGTGTCTAGGCAACCTGGGCATTGCCATCCTAGACGGCTTGGTTAATGCACCCACAGAGAAGTCTAAAGATTTACCATTTGCTCGATACACTGCATGCGTGCGCAGTGCAAACTCGGAGAAAAGACTATCCGAACGATTCGCCGAGTCTTTGGACAAAATAAGCATTTCTCGCGGCAACAACGTACAGGCTGTACAAACTGCCGATGTTATAATTCTAGGCGCAGACCCTGCCGATATCGAGGCCATCCTGGTGCAGCCTGGGCTCCGCGAAGCCTTGACTGACAAGCTTATCATCAGCATTGCAGCCGGCTGGACAAGACAAAAGCTCGAAATCACAATATACGGCAGCCCAACCACCAACGATAACACAGCTGGTAGAGCCTGGGTGGTGCGCACGTTGCCGAACATCGCAGCCCAAGTATCTCAGTCACTTACGGCTATTGAAACATCGGAGCCTGCATTGCCGGAGCGATATCTCCAGATAACGACGACGATCTTCGAGCAAATTGGTAAGGCAGTACACGTTGACCCGAGGTTGATGAATGCTACTACCGCTGTCGGGGGCTCGACGCCAGCCTTTTTCGCTGTTATTTGCGACTCAATGATTGATGCCGCAGTGGCGGTTGGTATGCCACGGGACCTGGCTCATACCATGATCTTTCAGTCGATGCAAGGGACGGCAACCATGCTTCAGAGTGGCATCCACCCCGCTCTGTTGAAGGATCAAGGGACGTCCTCGGAGGGCTGCACAATTGGTGGGTTGATGGTGATGGAAGAGGCTGGTGTGCGTGGGCATGTTGGACGGGCGCTTCGGGAAGCTGTTACTTTGGCTCGCTTGATGGAGACAACACCCCATGTTAATGATACAAGGCATTGACCTTCTATTCTGGGGGTCAACCGGAATGGGTAACTGGATGTCGGGATTACTGCTTCGATCATTGGGATTGAACTCGAGAGCAGCCTCCAATATAATATACATATTAAACGTTATATCCAGTAAGAAAAGAAATACACTATTTGCAATCGCAATCCACCAAATCTTGAGACCACGAACATCAAAACCTTGGAGCCAAATATCTATAGTAAAAGTAAATTACCAGTTTCACCCTTCCCTACTTATTGCAATGCTGGGTAATCCAAACTCTGTGTGCAAATCCTCCGTGAGCTCCAGCTGCTTAATGGGTATACAAAGAAGCAACCCGATACCACCAAACGGAATCGAAATCCACCAAACCCATTTCAAACTATCTTGATAAACACTGAGCACTTCCGCCATAAGGTTCGGGGTATTGTGCAAAGTACGCATCAACCCTTCACTGGCCATGGCATATGCACCGCCATTGGCAAGCTTTGCACGCAGAGACACATCACTGACACGATACAGCAGCTCCTGGACACGTGTATTGAAGATGGTGGTTGGGACAACAATACCCCATATACAACCAAAGCTGCGCATAAATGCCCAGGTGGAGGTTGCGGTGGCCACGTCAGACTCGGGCAGCGATGCCTGAATCGGAGGTAGGGTGCTAGAGAAAATCATACCAGAACCAGCCCCGAACAGAATCTGGAAGCCAGCCCAGTCGCGAGCAGGTGAGTGGTCACCTAGGAGCGAAAAGAGGCCACTCGCAAGAGTAAGGAATATATAGCCCAGGAAGTGGAAGACGCGGTATTTGCCAGTCATGGCGATGATCACTCCTGTGATGATTCCGAAAGGCGCAATTGCGGCAGTAATAGGAAGCACGTATAGCCCGGATTCTGTGGCAGTCGAGCTACGGATAGCCTGGAAGTAGACTGGCAGGAAATATCCGACCCAGTACAGCAGGACAGACTGAAGAAAAGCAATCCACAGTGCGCATGTCCCAGTTCCGCTTGAGAACAACTGGAGCGGAATCGAGGGCTCAGCACAAAACCGTGACATTTGATGGCCGTAAAAAAGAAAGAGCCCCCCGAGCCCTAGGATAAGAGGTAAGAGAACTCGCCACGAAGACCAAGTGTATGTTGTTCCAGCCCAAGTGAGGGCGAGCAAAATTGAGATAACGGCAGCTGTAAGGATGGAATTCCCAACGAGGTCCACGCGCTTTAGCTGGAGCCACACGGTACCACTGCTGGGCGGGTGTGTGACTCGAAGGAACAGGACTAACAATAGAAGTGACGCTGCACAAAGTGGCAGGTTTATGTAGAAGACCCAACGCCATGAGACATACTGGGCGAAAACGCCGCCCAGAACGGGGCCTATCACCGTTCCAACTGCCCACACGGCTGCCATGAGCGCGACATATTTACCTCGCTGGCGGAGGGGGACCAGGTCACAAATGACGATATCCACGAGGGTATTGATACCACCGCCACCGATGCCTTGGATTGTTCGTCCCGCAATAAGAAGTCCGATGTTCTTCGCACCACCAGCCATGCCACTCCCTAAGGCAAATATGACAACCGAGATGATCAGCATCCATCGCCGACCGAAGATATTTGCCGTCTGACCGAACAATGGTAGGACAACGGTCGATGATAGGATGTATGAGTTCGTAATCCACATGTACGATTCGCCAGCACCAATGTCAAGGGCGATTGTGGGAAGAGCGGTTGAGAGAATGGATGTATCGAGGGCCGAGAGGAAAGTTGTCGCGCATAGTGCTGGGAACACGGCCCAGAAGCGCCATGTTTTCTTTGGAGTGAAATTGGCATTATTAAATTGCGCTGGTTCTTCTTCGTGTTCTTGGTGCTGTTCTTCTGCTGCTGCGGGAAGGGTCCCTCGTACAGTTGGTTCGGTCGTCGGAGATGACTTTTCCATCGCTTTTCCCTCGACGGAAAACTCCTCCTGTCATGGTATGGATATGTCGTGAAATCACAGTGACATTAGGGCATGGGTATGGAAGTTACACTTCAACTCCGAAATCCGGTCCCCAAGCCCGATCCCCAAACCCGCTCCACGGGAGATTGTTGTTGATCTTTGTCCGAAAACCGTTAAGAGGCACGTACGGGCCCGGGGCCGATCTACTTGGCGTAGTTTTGCCTGACAGGCCACCAATGATATTCCAGCACTGGCAGCAACTGTGGACCTCAAGAAGACGGCCACGGGAGATCCGAGACATTGCCAATGCCCCTTGTCGCCCCAAAATTTGGCTGAACCCGCCAAGAAGCCTTCCCGCTGCAGTCAGCTTACCCATCTCTTGACGCACAACGATCACTAGGGAATTTATTGACAGATGGCTACATAGCTAAGGCCTCTAATCTGACAGTAGACACGGATGCTAGGAGCAGATTTTATTGGTGTTGATCTAGATGTGTTTGGCTCCTACATACATGTAGTAACGTCGCAAGTCATTTGCCAACAGGCTATGCATATGTACGTACTACATTATACTTTTAGTGTTTAGGAAAATGAACTAAAATAAAATTTGCCAAAAGGAGAAGGAGACCATTTAGTTAACTAGCTAATGAAGAGAGGGGGGGGGTTGAAGCGGAAGCAGCAGGGGCGCCGACAGCCCTGTCTGCGAAAGCAAAGTCTTTCACCGGGAGTAATAGGGTGCTGGAGAGGAGAACATTGTGCGATGACTACTAGAAGAAAGGAAGGATAAATGAAAGTAGGGGTGTGCCTTGCAATTTCTGCCTTAAGCATACGCTTTAACTAGTTGACTATTTGTAGTTGCCGTCATATAATGATTCTTTTGAGACCTCTTGTCGCCATAGTTCCTAGACAGGAATTAGTTCAATGAAAGATTGTTACCAATCTAGTACTCCGTATACGGTCATGCATTGTAATAAAAAACACCCTATTCCCCCTGACGATGGTAAAGCGGGGTCGGCCCGTTCCGCAACGCTAGCGTTATCTGACACTTCTAGGTATGTGAACTACATATTTCAGACCTCAGTAGACATGCTCCTAATTTTCAGGCCATGCATGCGGTCTATCTCGAGCGACGAGCCCAAATTCTCCACCTTCGTGCAGATCCAACATGACGCATACATGTTGACGCGGTCGATGCAGGCGCCACTTATACGCGCACCAACTCGTTTGGGGGAAAAGCCGTGGGCCTCGAACGTCTTCATATACCAAAGGACGAGTGCCGAGGAGCGCAGAATTACACGATCACCCATCTTTAGACTGCGATTCAATTTAGTACTCTGAGAGGCTGCGGCTGCGGCGCTCGGGTCGAACCAGTCTATGCTGTCCATGACAACGGCGACGGTCAGTGTCGGGGGTTATGTAATTAAGGACCTCGTTGACATCGTCTGTGTGGATTCGCAGACCGTCTAGAGCACCTGGGCTGGAGAGCTTGGCATGCGCCTTCCTAGGGAGATAATCCGGGTGACACCTGCGGGTGAAGGCACCGGTCATGCAGACCTGATAGGAGGGATTGTCAGCACCGATATGCGTCTGATCGGCGACTGGATCAAAGGTGTCAACCATGTATTTCCATATCGCGTGAGAGCGGGTCTTGCGATCTGTCGGGTTAGGGCCACTGACAGCTTCGCTTTCAATCATGGCGAGCTGGTTCTTGGGGACGCCTAGAGCGGCCCAGAGAAAGCTTTCTTGGCTGACGACGAGTTTGCATACTAGTTTGGAAAGCAAGGCCGGACGGATCCTGTTGGGCCAAATACCACGTTGTTCGTTTAGCGTCTTCGTGGCGAGAAAATCCCGGAAGGCGGCACGGCAGCCGAAAATAAATGAGATCCATTGTTGGAATGGGCAAGTCATCATATTGTTACTATCCTGTTGCCCCCTTGCTCTTCTAGCGCCCCTGTCTCGCTTTTCATACCTCATATCCATTCTCAACTGACACTTATCTCTTTTCATCAGCATGTCGACTTCCTGGTGACGTCCAGGACCCCAAATCTTTCTGGGATCTTTTGGTGAGCCAGAAACTCGTACGCGGCCCTTTCCCAAGAAACCCTTTCAACGCCGATGCTTTCTACAATCACCAAAAGGTACGCCCAGGGAATATGCGGTACACAGAGGGTTATTGTATTTCCAATAAACTGGAGGATTTCGATGGTGGGTTTTTTGGCATGACGAGTGCTGTTTCAAATGTCTTGAATCCGGAGGCATAACGCTCGAAGATATTTACAGCATCATGACTGGTGTGTATGTGGGCAACTTTGCCAGTGACTATGAGACACTTGCATTCAAAGAGCCTGAGAGTATTGAAGGTGTGGCCATTCTAGGAATGGGCAGGACAACAGTGAGCAACCGCGTGAGCTACATGTATAACCTTCATGGACCAAGGTTTGACTCCGCTAGGTCATTTGATCTCGCTAAGCCTATTACGGATGTCTGGACTACAGTTGTCACAGCCGCCAACAGAGCGACGTGTGAGACGGACTTCATCCTCAAGGACGGTATCATCTATATCGTGTCATCCCCGATATGGAGCTGAACGAAGAGTTCACTCTAGACACGGGAACAGGGAGAGATGAACAAGATTTTCCAACTTTCGGTAATGTCCAGGTGGCACTAGAGACTCCAGGTCTTTTGGATACTCTGTATTTCCGAGAAAAACCAACATGTGACATTGCACTTGACGTCGATGAGGTTGAGATTGAGGTGAAGGCTGTGGGATTGAATATGAAGGGAATATGAAGGTTCGTTCACGATATCCCTACCGTGCAACGCAGGATTCAAGGCGACTAATTACCATAATAGGACTATGTCATTGCAATGGGCAACTTTGAAAGTGTCAAGTCGAGCAACGAGAGCACTGGTATTATTTCTAGGGTTGGAGAGGACGTCACTCACCTCCAGCCTGGCAACAAGGTCATATGCTTGGAGCGCGGATACTACGACACCTTCCTTCGCAGCCCGGTACAGAAGTGCCTCAAACTCGAAAATGATGCCGACCTTGTAGAGATGGCTACCGTGGGAATTGCCTGTGGGACTGCAATATATGCGCTAGACTATCTAGCCCATTTAGAAGTCAACGAAACAGTGTTGATTCAGGCTGCCACCGGTGGTTTGGGGCTTGCGGCCATCCAATATGCCGAGTGCGTGGGGGCTGAAATCTACGCCACAGTGGGAACACAGCAAAAGAAGGACTATCTCATCTGTGTGCGGAATTCCCGCAAATCATATCTTCTGGTCCCGAACTCTAGAGTTCAAGGATGAAATACTGAAGCAGGCACGATGTCGCGGTATTGATGTTGTCCTTTCAACCATCTCTGGCCCCGGGTTCCACGAGAGCTTAAAATGCCTAGCACCATGTGGAAGGCTTATTGATGTTGGACGTGGAAACGTCTTGGACAAGGGCAATATGGGGCTGAATGCTTTTGATCGGAGCATCAGTTTCTTCTCCTTTGATCTCAACTTTGTCCTGGAGGAGAAACTGAGAATTGCCGAACGGCAAGAATCCCAAACATTATTTCAGGTATAATGCATGGAGCCCACTAACATGTGAAAATAGGCTTTTGGCAGATGCGATGAAGCTCCTCCGATCCGAGAAGGTAAAATTCACCCAATTAGACTGGATAAGACTTTCCATATTACCGAGATGGAGAAGGCCCCATCGACATTATCAAGGGCACTTTCTTTGACTCTATGACTCTGGAACAATTCAACACTGCCATTCGTCCCAAGGTAAACGGCGCCATAAACCTACATAATGCCACCATTAATGTCAACGCGAATCTCGATTTCTTCATGACGAGCTCAACAGTCACATACGTTGGTCACATCTCGCAGTCCAACTATGCAGCATCCAACGCGGTGCTAGATAACCTAGAACGGCAGCGCATCAGCAATGGCCTACCAGCAGCCACAGTCTCACTGGGGCCGATCAAAGGCGTGGGCACGCTGAACCGCAACCCCGAGTATGCCGAGAACCTGTTGCGGTCGGGGCTGATTGAAGCCGAAGAGTCAGAGTTTATCCGGCACTTCAACCGCTTCACGCACCCGCAGCTCAAGTCAAAGCACTTTGACAGTCTCACGCAGGGTCACATTCTCACTGGAGTTGAGTAATCCAAGCACAACCTCAGCTTGGTTCAGGTCACGCGCATAGAACAGGATCGCCGCTCAGCGCTGCTAGTCACAACACTCGAGTCGCGCAAAGCTGCCGGCAGCAGCGGTGGTGTGATAGTCGATGCCAGTGGTGATGACCTACTGATACCCGAAATTTCTGATGACCGCGACAAGGCAGTCATCGTACTGGCAGAGGCTGTTTCACAGCGGCTGGCCAAGCTCATGTTCATCTCCATCGAGGACATCGATATCAGCCGTCCATTTTCTCATTTTGGTCTCGATAGTATGTCCGGCAGCGAGCTGATCCATTGGCTGAGCCAAAATTTCGGTGTGGGCATGTCATTTTTGCAACTGCTGGCTCCCTCGTGCTCGCCCAAGAGTCTAGCAGGGACTATCTTTGATGCCCTTGAGATGAAGGCAGCTGCGGCAGAAATCTCAGCCCTGGTTATCGTGGGTGGCACGTCTCACGAATCTCCAAACGAATCTCTTGTGTCTAATGGCGTGAACGGTTCCACTGGTATGAATGGTTCCAGTGGTATAGATAGTGGTTCGGCTGGATCTCAGATGGAAAAGTTCTCTCGGTCAGTAAGAAGAGCAATTGCCGATTCAAAGCCAGTCATGCATTCTTATGTATGCTCAGTCGTCAACAAGAAGGGTACGTATATACAATTTCCATCTCGAATGGGGATATACTCACTGATCACGATCACAGGTGAACAACTCTATACACTGTCCAAAGGCACATTGTCACAGGATTCCAGTACGAAAGTTGACTTTGACGCGGTATACGGAATGGCCTCTCTCACCAAGCTCATGACCACAGTCGCCATCATGATTTGTGTCGATCGCGGACAGATCTCCCTCGATGATGATATAGCTCCAATCCTTCCGGATCTGTGTGCTCCCCCGGTTCTGTATGGTGTCGGTTCGGAGGGCCGATGCTTGATAAAACCCCGGACTAAGACCATTACACTTCGATTGCTAATGAGCCATCAAAGTGGCTGTGGTTATCATTCAAATCCTCCGCTGGCGAGATGGGCGAGACAGAATGGCAAGACTAACAGCGTCTTTGACAATGACTTTGTAAATCTTTTCCTTATGTACGCCACAAGTATCGATGTGCATCTGACACCCCACAGGAAATCATGAAGACCTATCCACTCCTCTTTGAGCCCGGACAAGGCTGGATGTATGGCTCTGGGACCGACTGGGCCGGCGAGGCCATCGCACGAATGAACAATACCACCCTCGAGGAGTTTATGCGATCTAACGTCTGGGAGCCACGGTCTGTGGTCAACACCGCGCGACTGGACAAAGTTCCTCGGCATGGTGCTCGCGGACGGTGGATCCATACTCTCCAAAGCCAGCGTCGATGAAATCTTCTAACCACAGACCATTGGCTCGAGTGATCTACAGGAGCTGCTGATGGGCCCGCTCCTACCAAAAAGCCCCGCCTCGAAGACGAACCAGCGCGTCCCTACGCTCTACGGTTGACATGGATGCCGGCCGTATTGAAATCGCGGATGCCATTCCTGGGAAACGTTCGGCGGGCACGCTACAATGGGCCGGTCGACCCAATCTCTTCTGGTGGATTGGCTGGGTCAAGGGTATAGCGGCCGCGACGTTTACTCAGGTTATATCACAGGCTGATGCCAGATTCGAGGAATTGACCAGTGAATTTGAAATGGCGGTATATGCGGAGTTCACTTAGCTAGGGGTATGATAATGTGGCGCAAAGAATTCAGTCCAGAATGTTTACTAATTTCTCGCAAAATGGATTGATATGATTAATGTGACGTGATGACAAAAGTAGGCCTGAGGCATGTATATCACCTGACCTTATCATCCCACCTTATGCCTTGTATTTCAGGCACTCCATAACATCATCCCCCACCTCGGCCCCTCATTTTTGGCCAATGACACAAATGGACTTGTGTCTCCAAGAACCCCGGAGAACAGCTAGGAACAGCCAGGAATACTAAATCCGAGGCAACTTATCTTAATAGCCGACACGTTCCCTCCCCGTAACCAATGATCCAGGCTGACTCATCTCTCGCCCAATTCGCCGATGAATAATATACATCAGATAACGCCCAGTCTCGACGGTCTTTCTTGATAATCCATGTGGTTCGGTATCTTTCTTCTTCGGATCACCTCACTTCTCTTGTAAGGTACAGAGCCAGTCCCCACTTAGTCCCGATGGGCCGATATGTGTCAGCCGTGATATTAAATACTTGGACTTCTTCTCTTCCCCTCTTCTTCTTGTATCCACAATCTTAACCTCTCTCTCTTCCGTACTCAAACACTCAATTCCATCCTCAAAATGTCTACTAAGGGTTTCAAGTCCGGTGACGCCTTCCCCGACGACGTGGTGTTCTCGTGAGTAATTGAGCTAGCCCCTCTAATTGTGTCCCTCCACCTAACAGACTACCAACAGTTACATCCCCTGGTCTGAGGAGGCTGGTGCCATCACCTCTTGCGGTATCCCCATTAACTACTACGCCTCCAAGGAGTGGGCCAACAAGAAGGTTATCCTCTTCGCTCTTCCCGGTACGTGACCGCTCTTTAATGCAATCCCCTCCTCCTTCCTCTCTAGGCCTTCTGCGCAAGTTCTCGCGCTGACCGCCATCCCGCTCTACAGGTGCTTTCACTCCCGTCTGCTCCGCCAACCACGTCCCCGAGTACATCAAGAAGCTCCCCGAATTGCGCGCCAAGGGTGTCGACCAGGTCGCCGTCCTCGCTTACAACGATGCCTACGTCATGAGCGCCTGGGGCAAGGCCAACGGTGTCACTGGAGATGATATTGTATGTGATCTATCATTCTTCCCACCCATACCAATTTCCCCCCAAAAATTCACGGACTCAATTGACTGACTCCTGTCTTTTATTTAGCTCTTCCTCTCCGACCCCGACGCCAAGTTCTCCAAGAGCATCGGCTGGGCTGACGAGGAGGGACGCACCTACCGCTACGTGATCATTATCGACCACGGTAAGGTCACCTACGCCGCCAAGGAGGCCGCCAAGAACAGCCTCGTGCTCTCCAGCGCCGATGCTGTCCTCAAGCAGTTGTAGATTCACTTCTTTAAGACTGGAACTGGGTAAATGGACTGGCGCATTGTTTCATGGGTGATTGGGGAGTCGGACTGCGGTATTTGTGTTTAGCAGATATCCAGCATTGTTCTCCCCTCTGCTTTCAGCGGTTTTCCGAATTTTTAGATCGCCCTGTTGCTTGCTCTGTTACCTGAAGAGTGAAATACTTTTAATGAAGCCACGAGGTCATTCTTTTATCTCTCTCCGTTTCTTATCTAAGTAAAAGGCAGTTGTCTTAAGGTTAATTTGTTGTACAACGTCAGTACAGCTAGGAACTATACCTCCTCGTTCTGATTGGTGCGCTGCTTTGATAATGGACTATTAGTCGTCCGTGCTTAACGCCTCAATCGAGATCTAGATCATGGGCAAGCCAATTGACAAGCATCCAACCATATTCAGACACAGTTGGCACCATCTCTTAAGTGGAAGCAGGAATATATTATATTGTTCTCCGTAGGTCTTGCATCGGAAGTCCTGGGGATTATCAACCTCCATACTGAAGATTTATACTACGGATTGAAGGTTAGAATGGATACCCGGAACTTTCGAAATATACAACAATAATAAACATCGGATGAATATGGATAGTGCCATCACATGGATCAGATTGTCCAATTAAGTTGTTTGTAGTTGAAAGTCTTCCCCCAAAAGCAATGGATATACGCAAAATCATAGACACAGTTCAACGCCAACCTCGAAAAATCAAGAATTCCTCAAATTCGATTCCATGGCGACAGATTTGTTCTTCTTCCGATCTTCTTTCGTCCGCAAACCACGACTCAGCCCACCGCCAAGACCGCGCGCCAGAGATGCAAACGGCGACGAGTCCTGCCACACATCCAAATCGTGTTCGAGCTGGCCAACGCCCTTGGGGCGCGGATCCTCTTTTCGGTTAGAAACCAAGCCGACGGGCTCAGACTGTCGACGATGAGAGTGTTTCGCCTGTACAAGGCTGTGCTGGGTGATGGGTGCGTATTCTTTAGTACCAGGGGATGATACCGGCTCTAACAAGGGCATGGGGACATCAACGGCAATGTGTTCAGAGCACTGGCAGCCGCATCCTGTCGGACAGGTTGGAAGGAACTTGTTCTGGTCTGGATGGGCGAATGAGCTGTCGAATTTGTCGGCCGGTCGAAGGAACCATCGCCGGTGGCAGTCGAAACAGCTCACATGTCCGCAGCTCAGACAGGGAATCAGCATACCGTTGATCACCTCGCCGCAGATGACGCAGGGCAGTTTGGTTGGCAGTGGCTGCCGGGGCTTGCAGTTAGGGCATCGGCGGCCTGATGGTTTGCGCTGATTTCGCTTGGAGGGGGTATTCGGGGCTAGGGGTTCCTTATTAAAGACGGAGAGCTGCAACGCGTGGCCACAGCTGGCGCAATGGCGCTGGAAGTCAAGAGTTTGAGAGTTTGGCTTCGAATGTGGATCTTGCAATGCGGTCTCTTCGGAGCTAGTGCTGTTCCAGTAATGGCTTGAAGTCAAGTCGTCCACTCGATCAGCCACAGCTCCAATCTTTGTCACCTCGCTTTGTTGGACAGGAAGGTCCCAAATCGATAATAAGTTTGCATAAGCAGTGCGGTATGATCGATACAGCAATTCCTCATCTCTGTCAAGAAAAGAGTCTTGCGCTGGTCCGTCGCTTTCAAATGCAATTTGGTTCTTGTATGTGACCTTGAATCTTGCGGGTGGTGGTGTAGGCTCCGTTGGTTGATCGCTTTCGGTGTCGGACTGAGCCTGTGACTAGAGAGCAGTCGAGGTCAGACAGATCAAACTTTGCAGGCATCTCAAATCAAGATTAGAACTACTCACCACTTGTCCGGCTGCCACAACTGGGCTGTTGTGAGGAGTCGGCTTTTTCTTGTCCATTCTAGTTGTCGGCGGTGACGCAGATGACGGTCCGAATGTGAATGAACGAGATAATGAGGACGCCAGCACCGATCCAAACCCAGATCCACTTCGTGCTTGGGTTTGTTGATCAGGCGATGCAGCCATGGACACATTGTGGGTGGTATTTTTTCGATCAGCAGCGATGCCTCGTGGACGGGACATGAATGGAGGCGTGGTGCCTGTGGAATACGGGGGAGTGGAATCGAGACGCCAGATCTCACTAGAAGAGCGTGTCGAGGTCTGGGGCGGGGGCATAGCCTGGGCCTCTTTGAGAACAGATGAAGCTGGCGTCGCGAGTGGTGGCTTGGTTGAAATTGCGGATGGGACAGGAGGAAAATCTAATGAGAAATCCTGTCTCCCAGGCGTCTTTTTGGCTCGCTGATTCTCCAAATATCCCTCTTGGTTGGCTTCCAGTAGTACGCACGACAGCATTGCCACCATTTGCACATCCCCAATGCGCTCAAAGTGTTCGAAAAGAGCAGGGACAAGCCAATGACTGCCAAGAGGGTGGTCACCCCAGCGAATAACACTGCCCGTCAAGTCTCTATACAGCCCATCTTTTCCAAGATCACCAATTCTGCCCGCTTTTTTGCGCGTACGCCTTTGCGACAGCCCTGACCCAGGCAAAGTGCCAGGGCATTTTCGAACATGCAATATCAACTTGATTAGACCCCAGATTTGGGCCAATTCGTAGCAGCCAGCGTCAAGGGCAACAGCCGCGTTATGGGCGCATACATCTGTCCCTTTGCCACAGATGCGGTATTGACTCGCTAACTCCCGCTTGACGGGTAACATATCACTCAGATTATGAATAGATACGATATTCTGGGGTGCCTCTGATTTGACTGTGGCACCACCTCCAGTAGACCGCTGAGAATTATCTGTTGATCGCGGCCGGTGAATGCCATAGCTGCCGGCACTGCGCCATGTTCGGGATGCTGGGAAAGGTGTCGGTAGCCCAGAAAGGACGTCAGAGGAGCCCGAAGAGCTCGATGTATCCGAGTATGACTCGTCCGAATCATCCGATGTACCATCATCTGTGCTCGTTATCGTTCCGATTCCGCGTGGGCCGGGTGAGTTGGTATGCAACCGGCCGAAGCCTTCAAAAACTTTATCGCCTCGAGACCAACGAGTCATCTCTTTGAAGCCCATGTTCTCGAACAACTCGGCTGATTTATCCTTCTTTGGTTTCGGCGGGAAGAAGCAAATGAGGCGGCCGTCATTTGCCCAAAGCGCCCCGCATACTTTGGCCACAGGCACCATGACGTTGGCATTGACAGGGCGGAGTAGCTCAGAACTCATCCCCAGCTCTTGGCTCTGAGTCATGCCGACTTCATCCTCGTCGCTGGATTCACCTTCCAGTTCACCGTTGTTAGGGGACTTGAGGGTATCGCCAGTTTCACCCAATATCCACGCGACGCTGTCCTCCAGGCTGCTTTCGCCTAAAAGATAACGCACAGCACCTTCCAGGCACCCTCGATTCCGAGACATGTAGGTCTCAGCAATTGTACGCAATTCAGCGGTAGTCTTCGCAGCCCACTCATCGGTGACGGCTGCCGTCTTTTGGAATGCAAAGGTTGGGATAGCCGTCTTGGGATAGCTCGTTGGAAACTTGATATCAACCTTCAAAAACAAGGAGGCCCCGTCAGTACCCCAGGGCCCATTTAGAGAGATGGAAATCTTTCTTTGTCGGACATCAACTGAATCAAATGCAACCTTAGTGAACTTTTCACCAACCTGGCTGATTTCATCTCCTAATGTCTCAATGTCCCAGCCTGAGATCTTTACACCGCGCATCCAAGCAATTGGATTTGTATCGGCTCTTAAATTTGACCTGGGTTGCATGCCAACTCGATCAATATGGCCTCCCTTTATCCAACCCCGAGCGTACGGAACAGTAATGGCGTTCATCCCAGTACCTGCCGCGATATTCTGGTTCTGGTGGCCAACAGAGGAAGCCACGTCAACGTCATCGAGATCCAAATCTGAATTCACGTCGCGGAAACTCCGATATACGGCACCGAGTCGTGTCACAGTTCGCGTAGAAATAAAAGACTTGCCCTTTTCGTACCCGACGCGCGCCAGAATTTCAGGGTTGACTTTATGCAGACGAAGCTCCCTGTCTGTTCCCCACGTAACAAGTTGATATTCGCGATGGTCAATTCCATTCGCTACACCTCCGCGCGGTCTCCACAAGAACTCTTTGACTTGTCCCTTGTGTCCGGGAAAACTATGTACCAACGGTAAGTCGTCCTCTGGATTTGAGCCTTCTGCGGCTCGCCGGCTGTACAGGTGAAGGTCATTGTTGCCTCTCTGTGGCATTGCGAGCATACCCCATCCAAACGGCGTATTGCGTGCCCGCCACACGGGGAATGGTGTGTGAATTTGCTTTTCAGGAACATCTGAATCGTTGGTGTAGTCCCAGAACTTGATAGTTCTATCTAAGGAACATGTGACTACAGCACCGCGTCGAACACGATTCCAGTCGACTCCATAGATCTTGGTGTTATGTGCTTCGATCGATTTGATTGGGTAGGCGCCCATGCGGTCATCCCAAATTCGAAGGAACCGGTCATGGGAACTTGCAATGACATGAGGGTCTTGTCTATTCCATTTTACCTGCGTTGCGCCAGTAAACCAATCTGAGAATGAGACCGCTGGTCGCGAGGGAGCACGTAGGTCCCAGCAGTGCACGAAACTGTCCACGGAACACGTCGCTAAGATATCCGGATGGAATGCCGAGAAATTGATATCGGTAATTGCTCGAGAATGGGCGTGAAGAACAATTTCGATGGAGTTCTGCCATGTCTTCATAGCCAAATTCCAGACCAACGCTTTCTGGTTAGATGTACTGACAACCCACTGATCACGTGCAGCGAATGGAGACCACTGAACATCAGCTACCTCCCATGGTGTGTGGTGAGGGAGATACCGCGGTGGAGAATATGGCGAGTCTAGGTCGATGACATGTAGGCCCTCCTTGGATGCTAAAACGACATCGCGTCCACAAGGGGATATTGACATAGAACCCACCGGTTGCTCTACATGAAAGGAGCTGTCCTCTTCAAACGTCGGGCTCTCCATAGCCGATGTGAGAGGCCTCGGTTCCATCGAGCTAGACATGGTGACTGTGATTGCCGCTCTTTTAATCTCCGGTGTTCGTCGGGCCGCGATCTTGCATGAACGGGGGAGTCAGAGGTATATCCATGCATCCAACGGAAGACGATATATGCATTTAGGAGTGATTCACCTGTTCCCATCTTTCACATTGGCATTCGCTATCATTGTTTCATGGTTGGAGACTTATATCCTCGACTTGTCGCGAAGAACTGCACATGTGGAGAGTTGAGTTGCGATAACGCGATAAGCACAAGAGCGTGGCTGGTGCTGTGGCTGTGGCTGTCGCTGTGGGATTATGACATCACATGATCTCGTATACGGGACGCGAAATAACCCCGCCATGCAGGAGCCCCTCGGCCGGTTATGTCGAGATCTGGATTGTTTTTTTGGTTAACTTGCGCTTTACTCTTCTCTGTTGACTTTTCCGATTACATATTGTGATCCCACTCAACGTCAAAAGTGTGCGAGTTCCTGGTCTGCCTTAGGAACAGTCTCCTCAAATCAGGTCTATACGCGTGTCGATAAGCCGGTTCGCCATGGCTTTACCCAAGAGAATCATTAAGGAGACGGAACGTCTGATGGCAGAGCCGTAAGCAGCTTTTCTCTCTCAAAAGGTCATTTGCATGGCAGCTAACATGTCTTGCTTGGGTTACAGTGTTCCAGGCATTAATGCTGTACCCCATGACGATAACCTCCGCTATTTCGACGTCTCAATTCACGGACCTGCGCAATCTCCATATGAGGGTAGGCTCGCCCTTACAAAATCTTCCTGTCAATTGAAGTACTGACATATACAGGCGGTATCTTCCGACTTGAGCTCTTCCTGCCAGACGACTATCCTATGACCCCACCCAAAATTCGCTTCTTGACCAAGATCTACCACCCCAACATCGATCGTCTGGGTCGCATCTGTTTGGATGTCTTGAAGAGTAAGCCACAATTCGATTTATTCTCAAACTGGAAATGTCTAATAGTGTTTCTCTTTTTTTTCAGATAATTGGTCTCCAGCTCTCCAGATTCGTACGATTCTACTATCTATTCAGGCACTGCTCGGAGCCCCGAATCCCGATGACCCGCTCGCCAACGATGTTGCTCAGAGATGGAAGGACGATGAGCCTGCTGCGATCCAAACGGCAAAGGAATGGACTCGGACACATGCTATGGACTAAGTCCGTTGGTGCTATGTGACCACGAAGTGCAGATAACCCTTTCTATTTGCGATAGCAGGCATTCAATTACAAGCGTTTGTTATTAGGCAACCCTGTTGCTCTGAGTAGGATCACATTATCTGCTCCTTCCATTAATCTTGTCTCAAGTTATTCTGGCTTTTTCTAGCAGACCGTCAACCTCGCCCGCGTGTTTGACTTCCATCGGCCATTCTTAACGCATCCGCTATCATACATCTAATGTAGTCCGGTCACTTACAGTCCTCGCAGTGTACTGATCACTATATCGCTTGTTGCACAGCCGTGATCCTCACCTTGAGAATTATATATATGTCAACTTCATCCATTTCTAATATCGAACTCTGATAGGACTATTGAAGAAGATACTTACTCCAGCTGTATAGGCGTAGACGGTATACACATACTTCGCTTGAGCCGCTCTACCACAAAAGGTTCCAGCCCCATCTATAGTCCAGACTCGAAGGAAATTCAGCTTCATCGAGGGCCAGGAGTAGTTTATCTGTGAAAATTCCAAATTCCTTGCGCTTTTTGTTAGTTGAAATTTGAAATTTGAAATTTGCATGTCTTTTCATGTATTTTTTTCCACCTGCACTCTTAATAAGGCATAAATTGAAGCATATGTAATACGATTCGAATTAACTAGTTAACTAGTTAACTACATTATGCAACTATTCTGATCAGAGATCATATACAATCGAAGTACTAGAAAAAAGAGACATATCATGTGACCTTATCGATAAGTCGACCCGGAAAGGGCAGAGGTAGTCACGTGTCGCACTTTAGCGAGCACCCGCACCACAATTGGGTCAGTAACATCACCGCGATCCACGATTTACGACAACCACTCAACGCCAACCGACCCCCGTCAGCGCATCTCCATCCGTCAAGATGCGTACTTACGACGACGCCTTCAGCGGCCAGAAGATCTACCCTGGCAAGGTGCGTTTGCAAATCCCGTCGTCGCTTTTGGGGGGGGGAATTCTTGTGCGAGGGAACAACGGCATCACGGATTCGACATTCACTCTTCGACGTCAAAACTGTCGCTCTCCATCTTGCCGAACTACCGCACATGAATTTTGCCGTTTTCTTATTGCCGCTAGAAGCTAATCTTTGATGTTCAATGTTTAGGGCAAGCTATTCGTCCGTGGCGACAGCAAGATCTTCCGCTTCCAGCGTGGAAAGTCCGAGTCCCTTTTCCTTCAGCGCAAGAACCCCCGCCGCATCGCATGGACTGTTCTCTTCCGTCGCCAGCACCGCAAGGGTATCTCTGAGGTCGGTCGCCCCTCTCCTTGGATTATTGTTAGATTGTGTGGAGGGACAAAGGCCGAATTGAATGGTGACGCACAAACCATGAAACGGAGCAAGAGCAGGAATTATCACGTCACCACCATTATTCGGATCAAATGATGGAGAATGCGACTGCAGATTGCTGACCGGGTTATCTTTTTGGATATATAGGAGGTCGCCAAGAAGCGCACCCGCCGTGTTGTCAAGAACCAGCGTGGCATCGTCGGTGCTTCCCTCGATGTGATTAAGGAGCGCCGCTCCCAACGCCCCGAGGCTCGTGAGGCTGCTCGCAAGCAGGCCATCAAGGACGCCAAGGAGAAGAAGGCTGCTTCCGCCAGCGCCAAGAAGGCCGAGAAGGCTAAGATCGCCGCCTCTAAGGGCGGTGCCCAGCGCATCCAGAGCAAGCAGGGTGCTAAGGGCTCTGCTCCCAAGGTCGCCGCCAAGTCCCGCTAAATTTCTTTATGAAATAGTTGGGAATGGAGGTGTTCGGAAAGGAGCAGTGCTGTGATGGTTGCGATATGATGGAACTTACGGGCATCGGAGCTGGAGTACTGTCTGTGAGGACTGGCCTTGGGCCTTGACCTTGTTTCTGGAAATACTTTATGCAATACAATTTCATGCAGAAAAATGGGAACAAAGGAATCAAAAAATGAATCCCATGCGAGTATTAAAATTATATTCTTATCCAGTCTCCAGCAATGGAAAGTGTCTTGCTTTTCCCCTGGGGTATCATGTCTGCCAGGCCTACTCATGGGTTGCTAGATATGTATCCCTGTCGGATGTCAACGAAGTAATCCAGATTCTACCTCCAGATCTAAATTGAATTTCTTATTTTGTTTTGTCCTAAAATTTTCGCGTTGAATATACGGAAGGTATAACATAGGGTGCCTGGAGACAAAGCAAGAATGAAACAAACAGTGTTTAGTTTCAAATAGTTAAACCGAACCTTCTATTTCTGACCAGACAATAATTTTTCAAGTTGGATAACAATGATATATAATTGTCATGTTTCACGCACATCTATGCTTCAGACCATCTAGGTCTCCATCCCCGCAATGCATTAATTTCAAATTCTCGAGAGAAAGCAGATAATACAAACCCATCAGTAGTGTTACAAGCTAAGACGGGGATCGCCGCAATGGCAGAAGCACCATCATGATCACGATTGGTAGACCAAGCATTCCCCAGCCTTAGGACTTTCACGGTGCGCAATTGAGTTGCCAATAGTAGAGGGTGGATGCAAAATCCTACAAATGGCCCAATTGGGCCTTGTTGTGTGCCAAGGGCCATACCAATGACAATCAATTGGGGTTCAAATGCAACCAACGCATGGTTTGCGCATGTTTCTCGTGGGCAACGGCGACTCCCCGAATCCTCGGACAAAACGACCTAAACGCTATATCAAACAACCGGCGTGAACCACAAGGCGGGAGAAATAAAAAAAAAACTTGTATCAAGAAACACTCAGTAATAGTGCGCCATCTCGAGGCCAGCGCGCTTGAAGCCGCACTTGACATAGAAACCCTCATTGACTTCGGAACAGTCAAGAATGCTCTGTAAACAACAAGTCAGCAATGATAAGTATAGACGTAAGAGATAAAAAAACACATACCTTGTAGCAGCCAACATGGGCAGCAACAAAATCCAAAGCCTGGATAATTCTCAAACCAAGCTTCTTGCCCTGCTGATTTTTCTCAACGGCGATGTCCTCAATGTGCCCGACCATACCGAGCGAATGGATGAACTTGCGCTCAACAATCAGACTGCCAGTCCCGACGACTCGGTCTGCACCATCACAGACCACGAGCATGTAGTACTCATCATTGCGCGAGGTAATCCAATCGTACCGCTGGTTCCATGCCTCCTCGGTGATCTCGCCAACAGTTGTCAGCACGCGCAACACGTCCAGATAGCCGCGAGAGTAGTCCGAGCGGCGCATTGGCCGGATTGTGTAGTCTGTTGGCAAGAGGGAGATCACTTCAGGGGAGATGAGGGTGGAGGGGAAGAGGGGACCGTCGGTGACCGTCTCGTCCACTGAGGTAACGGTTGAGCTCATGATTGGCTTTACGGCCTCGGAGGTTGTGGTGCTTGGAAGGGCGTGTGCGGTCATTTTTGCAGTGAGAGTTGGAGAGTGGGAATGTTGAAAGTTGAAGAGTTTGGAGGGTTGAGGGTTGAGGGTTGAGGGTTGAGGGCGGTTGTTTATCAGGGGCCGGGGGAGATCGGCGGACTTGGAATTGAGGAAGTTAATGTGCTGAGGTGAACTTTGATATAACTGAGGAGAGATATAAGAGTTTCGAAGTGAAAAGACGAACTTTTCAAGATGGGAAATAAGTACTTGACTTCGAAGGGTTCAGGTACTCCGTTCTCCGTACAGCCCTGCAGGTGAGACACCGCCACTAAGGGGGCTTTTCTATTAATACCACATACTTCGTATAATATAGTGGATTCTTTTGTCTTTCTGTCTGGTTTTTTTTAGCATAATCTGCTTATTTCTGCATTGAAAAACTCCTAGGGTTATTGGATATACTAGTATTAAACCGATCTCGGCAACTCTGATTTACTAGTGTTCTTGATCGGCTTCGCGATCGTGCTATTTATAACCCCAAAGAAAGTTGAGGATCTACAACATACAAAAAAAGTGTATCGCATCACAACACAAAGCGATCAAACATAAATTCTTTTCAGTATACACATGCTATCGGAAATGGTCTATAATGTCACAGGACAGCACTGCTGTTCGTCTACAACTCCTTGGGAGCCAGCATCAGCTCGGGGCGGACATGCTTGTCGAACTCCTCGGAGCTGAGAGCCTTGAGCTCCATAGCACTCTCCTTCAGAGTAAGGTTCTTCTTGTGAGCGTTCTTGGCCACCTTGGAGGCCATGTCGTAACCAATTACAGGGTTCAGGCAAGTCACAAGCATCAGACTATCATACAGTTAGAATTTGCCATCAAAAGTAAGGGGGGGGATCAGAAGAGCATACCTCTCGTGGAGAAGGGAGTTAATCCGTCCCTCGTTGGCCTCAAGACCCTCCACCAAGTGGATACGGAAGCTGTGCATGCCATCAGAGAGGATGCGTACGCTGTGGAGCAGGTTGGCGATCATCAGGGGCTTGAAGACGTTAAGCTCGAACTGGCCGTTCATGCCACCGATGGTAGCAGCGACGTGATTACCCATAACCTGAGCGCAGATCATGGTGAGGGACTCGCATTGGGTGGGGTTGACCTTTCCGGGCATGATAGAAGATCCGGGCTCGTTCTCGGGCAGGCTTAGCTCGCCCAGGCCACAGCGAGGGCCAGAGCCCAGGTATCGCACATCCTGGGCGATCTTAAACAGGGAGGCGGCCAGGGTGTTCAGGGAGCCGGAGGCCTCGATGATGGAATCGTGGGCAGCTAGCACCTCGAACTTGTTGGGGGCGGTCTTGAACTCGGTGCCAGTCAGCTTGGTGATCTCGGCAGCGACGGCCTCATCGAAGCCCTTGAAGGTGTTGAGACCAGTGCCGACAGCAGTACCGCCCTGAGCCAAGAGGCGCAGGTGAGGGAGAGAAGACTGGACACGCTCGATGTTACGGTCGAGCTGGGCGACGTAGCCAGAGAACTCCTGGCCAAGAGTAAGGGGAGTGGCGTCCTGCAAGTGGGTACGACCAATTTTGATAATATGTTGGAACTTGTCGACCTTCACCTGGAGGGCATCACGGAGTTCCTTGAGGGCAGGCAGAAGGGACTGCTCGAGCTCAACAACGGCAGCGATATGCATAACAGTGGGGAAGGAGTCGTTAGAGGAGGCGGACATGTTAACGTGGTCGTTGGGGTGGACGGGCTTCTTGGAGCCCATGGTGCCACCGAGGATCTCAATAGCACGGTTGGAGATGACTTCGTTGGAGTTCATGTTGGACTGAGTGCCGGAACCAGTCTGCCAGACGACCAAAGGGAAGTGGTCCAGCAACTTACCCTCGGCGACCTCAGCAGCGGCCTGCTTGATAGCCTCGCCAATCTTGGGGTCTTATGCAAGTCAATAACCTGACGATATCTGATTACGCAAAGCTTCACATACCAAGGCCATACTTCATGTTCACTTCAGCAGCAGCACCCTTCAGGATACCGAAGGCCTTGATCAACGGGGCGGGCATGCGGTCCTGGGGCTGGTTGATGTCGAAGTTTTTCAGGGAGCTGCATCCATCAGCGACCTTGTTCGTTTCTTCCCTTGTAACATATCGATTTCACGGGTCGTCTTACCGCTGGGTCTGCGCACCCCAGTACTTGTCTCCGGGGACCTATTGAAATCCCCATTAGTTCTGTGCGGCACCATTGCTGCGCCAATATCACTCACCTGGATTTCACCAAAGGCATCGCTCTCGGTACGAGGGTCAACAGACTAGGTCACACACATCAGTTTGTCTGCTTGTCTACCGCGCCCTCTAAGCAGCATACCATTCTGACTGTAGTTCCAAAAGAACGCTTGTTGGAGAAAGTGTTCAAGGATTGAAGGCGGGGGAACTGAACGAATTGCCGGGTATTAGAGCTCAGAGACCGGGTAGCAAAGGGCGACAGAACGCTGCGAGCTGCGGGGGTGGCTCTGGCCGCATGTGTCAGGGTGGCCATAGAGCGCACCGCGGCTCGCGAGGAAGTAGAATTCATTGTGTGACAATTGAATTTGTAGCTGTACGAAAGAGGATATACAAAGGTTCCCACTAAGCTTCTGAAGCTTCTATGAGAGTGGAATCGAGGATTGGGTCTCCTTTAAAGAAAAGTCGCAATGCCGGCATTTCCCGGTATCGGCAGGACCGAAGGGAAACGGGTTGCTCGGCAGTGAGGCCCGTAATATTCGGTCATATCGTGTATTATCCGGTTTGGTATGGTATTTATTTATCATCCCTTAAGCCGCAGCTTCATCGTCGCAATAACCTTCTCGTTATATCGCTGACCTCCCTCCAGAATTCCGTCGAGTCCAGCGACCAAATGTGGAACACCTGCAATTCGATCTACTTCTACAGATACCCCAGCAGCTCGAAGCTTAGCCGCATACGCCTCTCCTTCATCGCGCAGCGGGTCCAATTCCGCCGTAGACACCAACGCAGGGGCCAAGTTCCGGAAGTTCGGTGCGAGAATGGGCGATATCTTCCAATCCTAGACAAATGAGCATCCCATTTTCAATTAGTTCAAGTTCATGTCGGAACTTACCTCGTCAGAGTCCGCCGGTCGAGGAACTCCTAGAAATTGTCGGTGGAAATATGCCATGCGCGCTGCTGGTAGCGCTGGCGCAAACTCCATCTCTCGGTATGATTCATATGGACAGCCTTCGTAGTCAAACTCACCTTCGGGAGTAAAAACCCGGTGCAAGTCTGTCACCGGCACAGTCAAGACTTGCAAGCGCAGAGGGATGTCTGCATCGCGGCAGAGATGGCTGATGACGGCCGAAAGCTGGCCTCCAGCTGACACGCCGCCCACTGCGAACCTATCTGGGTCTAGATTGAACTCGGTCGCTTTGTGGGAGCGAATCTAGATGTTGCCTCGTTAGCACCTGGTTTATATCTAAAATCTTGGCCCGGGAGACTCCTACCCATTTGAAAGCCGTCCAACAATCATCCACAGGAATAGGATACTTATGCTCGGGGGCCAGTCGGTAATCCACGTCAAATGCGACAAGGTCCCCATCAAGGCCATGGACAACTCGCTTGCAGAAATCGTGGTCGTAAGCTAGTCCACCAAACACCCATCCACCGCCATGGAAGTTGACATAGGCTGCTCTCTTCTTCGGCTGGCCCTGTCCGTCAAGCTGGGATGCTGGCTCAAATATCCGTATGGTGATTTCACCGCCATGGACAGGACATTTCTGTTCTGTGATGCGATAAATATCAGGGCCGGGAGCTCGGCCATAGGAAATGGTATAACGGGCAGGGTTCTTGCGGAACTCTTCAATCGGGATCTCGTGCGTATGCAGTCGCCCGGCATTAAATGCATTATAGTATGCGACGTAGATTGGGTCATACCGAGGTAGCAGCTCCGGGGGAATGCTGTTGTGAAGTGGCAGGACAACAGTTGGAACCTGAAACTTATGCAAAGCAGAATCACCGGCTTCTACTGTTTGAGAGGCCATGTTGATAACGAAAAATGGCACCGGCTACTTTATCCAATGGATTGTTCAAAGAATAGGATATGGAAGAGAAAAGCAGGCTACCGAAGTCCACTTAGTAACTACAGATCGCGGGGTAACCATTTGAATATATAAGTACCAAGTTCAGTCTACCCCCACGTAACTAACTGCAACATGACTATGTACTCCGTAGATATGCACAGAATGTCCGTGTCAATATATTTTATCACCGTCGAAGCGGAGAGACTTACGTAGCATAACTCCGAGTTCAAGCGTCTATCCTCACCGGCTGCAATTTATATATCAAAGGATCGATTGGGAAAATAGCTCGAACGAAATCTGGCAAGTTCTGACTAGCTCAACAGGCTTTTTCTTCTAGTGTGTTTGGTTGATTTCCTGTTCATTTCATATCTTGATATAACCGGAGACAGATGAAGTACATCGTAGAAAAGATGTTTTGGCTTTCCCACATTATGGAATCAATAGAAACATTGAGGGTATAAAGCCAAACATAAATAGAATGTTGTTGTAGAAGAAGTACTCATACCTTCGCGTTTATCTCCACCCAATAGTTACTCTCCCAAGTATTCCCATCAACACATCACTTATCATCGACCCCGTTTGAATTGCTACATAAAAAAAACTCATATTTGTCCCCTTGAGAATAACAGTGCTTCTGATGCATTTACAAGCGCGCCAGCAGACCTCCGATGACGTTTCATGCTGGTGTTTAGAGGTAAGTCCTCCAAGATAAGATCAATAACCTATCTCAACAGGCTGTTCATCAGCATATGGCCAAACCTTGAAGACTATTGAAGGCCATCTCTTCCTTTGAACTTTGAATTAAACGAAAATGAAGGCATTGCAAATTGCGTCCTTCCAAGCAACCCGACCCCGGAATCCGCTATGTGGGGCAAAAAGACAGACGGCGATATCGGGTTGACTCAGCGGGCGATCACAAGGTTCTGATCTTTACTGACTTATACTCGCCGCGACCTACATATTGCCCAGAAATTGA